AGGGTAACGGCGGTTTAATTCGGGCTCAAAACATTGTGGTTGTATAGCATTATTAATATCAGGCGATGCCATGCCACGCTGTGCTCCCGCTGCACCCGCCATCGTGCCGGCCAACGCCGCCGGACCTTCCCCTGGGTTATTAGTATTACTAGTTACGTTGATTAGAAACGAATTTATTAAATTACGCCTGGATGACTCTTTAATTCGTGATCGGGTCTTGCAAAGGAAAATTAAAGCTGTGTCTTAGCTGGTCTGCGTGTCGGTGATGTGAACTTTCACCGATGCCCAAAATTTCATAGTCAGTGCTACCTAGCCGCAACTGAACTTTTCCGTCCAACCATTTCTTATCCGTGCCGTAGCTACGGTATAAAATCTCATCCCCTTCGTTAAAACACCGCTGTGACCCGCCTGCTGCCAACTGCTGGCGTCTTTGCGCTGCATTAACGCGATCTGCGCGCTCCGGTTTTAAACAATCGAGTCGCATCCGCAACGAACGGCCTTGTAATAATTTTGCCGGACTTTCTCCTGTAGTGCAATGTTCGGTATTTCTGTAAACTAATAGAAATCTAAGGAGAGCCGTGTCTACGTCTAAATTCTGAGAAAGGGCTTTCTTTACAACTTTTTTACAGGTTTTAACTGCATTTTCGGCCGCTCCGTTGGACGAAGGATGATATGTAGCAGAAAACGTGTGTTGTATTCCACTGTTCTCCAAAAACTGTTTAAATTCTAAACTTGTGAAAGGTGGACCGTTATCCGAAACTAATTGTTTTGGTAAACCGAACCGAGACCATATTTCTCTTAGCGCTTTTATCACCGCTTTAGCGTTGGTAGAAGACATTTTATTACCTCCATCCATTTAGTGCACGTGTCAATTAGGACTAAGTATGTGTTCCCTGCGATTAGGCCGAAAAAATCTATGTGTAAACGGGACCAAGGACGATCTGGCCGAGGCCACGAGCGAATCGCATGGGCGGGAGGCGCGTCCGCCAACTCTAAGCACACCTGACACGACCGACATAACTTCTCTATATCTTCATCTATTCCCGGCCACCATACGTAACTGCGCGCTAACCCTTTTGTTTTAACCATGCCCATGTGCGAGTCGTGCAACTCTTTTAAAACTTTAGACCTACAGACGCTCGGGATCACAACACGATGGCCCCACATTACGCAATCAAGTTCCGTATATAGTTCGTTTTTTCTGTTATAATAAGGTTTTAATTCTTTAATATCCAATTCTCCTGGCCAGCCGTCTCTTATATAACTAATAACTCTGCTTAAAATAGGATCATGTACAGTTTCTTTTTTGAGTATGTTATATTCTAAGAGTAACGCTTCCGTCGCGAAATGCAAATACGTTTGCTCCGGTTCGTCGCTTTGTTCGCAAGAACCAGTTTCTTTATAAGTTTTTATCATACGAGATAACGCGTCGGCCGTATTACGCTCGGTACTTATAAATTCAATCTTAAAATTATACGAAGATACAATTAATGCCCAGCGTTGTAGTCTACTAGCCGTCATATTAGGAATACTGTGCCCGGGATCGAAAATACTCACTAAGGGCTTGTGATCCGTTCTAAGTACAAATTCTCGCCCATATAAATATTGATGGAATTTTTTTAATGCGAAAACAATCGCCAAAGCCTCTTTTACTATTTGGCTGTAATTTATTTCTGCGGGCGTGAGAGCTCGCGAAGCGTACGCGACTGGGCGCTCGCGGCCGGCCCGCTGCTGCGCCAGCACCGCTCCACGCTGCGCGAGCTGGCGTCGCACGTCACCACCACTGGCAGCGCGTGTCATAATGATCTAACACCTCAGCTTTACTTAATAATAATTTCACATTGTGAAACGCTTGCTTTTGCTCTTTCCCCCAAAACCAATGCCTACCTTTTTTTAAAAGTGTGTAAAATGGATTCAGGTAAAAATTTAAATTCTTTATAAATCTACAATAAAAATTAACCATTCCTAAAAATGACCGCAATTCGGATGCGTCATTAGGTTCACGTAAATTTAAAATGGCTTTTATCTTTTCGTTATCAACTTTTATACCGTCTTTGTTTACAATCTAACCGAGATATTTTACTTCGTTCGCAAAAAATACGCATTTTTGTTTCTTAATTTTAAACCCGTTTTGGCTTAACCTTAACAGTACCTTACGCAATGTATCTAGGTGATCTTTTTCAGATACACTATAAATCAAAATATCGTCTAAGAACACCACTGTGTTAGATATATCCTTCAAAAGATTTTTCATGCATGATTAAAACTACTTTTACGGATTTTATCGCGTTTATTTTTACTTTTTATTTACTTTTATTTTTAATTCCCGACGTTTCGGGCGCTTTCCAGCACCCATGGTCACGGGGGACTGAGATGACTGACGTCCCGATGTCATTGTTAAACCCGGAGTACCTTCAGCTTTTTTAATTATTGTTTATGGTCCTATCTATGCAAAATGAACTGACTATGTCTTGAGGTCTTGCAGTGGTATGCTTAGGTTTAGTTTTAATTTTATTGATTATAGGATCCCAAGCAGGTGGTAGTACCCAGCCTCCTTCTCTATTGAAATTAGGATGTTTTTTTAATTTCAATAGCCTCACGTATCATCCTTGGTAGGAATCGGTGTTCTTTCGCGAGGATTTGTGGTCTATCAAATCTGATGTAATGGTTGGGTCCGTCTAGGATATGATCACAAACTGCAGACTTCCCGGAACGTTGATGCTTCTCATCAGCTATATGTTCTTTTACGCGGGTCCTAATTGATCTTTTTGTTTGTCCTATATAAGAGAGATAAAGGTAATTCTACGGTTATAATGGATACGTCAGATTACAATTTTAAAATACAACAACTTTTGTCGGATAAAACTACTTATCGAAAGGTCAAAACAGACCCTACAACTAATACGCTTAAAACAACTAGCGATCTAATTAAGAAATACTCCGAAAAATTGAATTTGGACGTTAATTCGATAATACCTTCATGTGCCAAACCACCGAAGTTGTATGGGTTACCAAAGATACACAAACCGAATGCTCCATTACGTCCAATAGTGAGTCAGATTGATTCGCCAACTTACAGATTGGCTCAATACTTAGCTAAAATATTATCACCACTCAGAGGACACACAAGAGCACACACTAAGGATTCATACAATTTTGTCAGTGAGATAAAAGACCTACATCTTACTGACAATGAAACCATGGTCAGTTTTGATGTTCAGTCTCTATTTACATGCCTACCTGTTGAAAACTGCATCTCAATTATAACTAGGAAACTAGAGGAAAATAACATGCCAGCAGAATATGCAGTATTACTAAGACATTGGCTTACATCTGGCTATCTATTGTGGAAGGAAGAGTTTTACAAGCAAGTAGATGGTGTTGCGATGGGCTCACCTGTATCTCCCATTGTCGCCGATATATTCATGAAAGACTTTGAGGACAAAGCCCTCCTTACTGCACCTGTTACACCAAGGATCTACAAGCGGTACGTAGACGATACTTTCACAATTTTACCATCAGACAAAGTAACTGCATTTTTAGAACATCTTAATTCCATAAACTCTAAAATTCAATTTACTATGGAGTTAGAGGCAAATAATTCCTTACCTTTCCTAGATGTGTTAGTCATCCGAAATCCTAATAACACCATTGGTCACACTGTGTATAGGAAAAGGACCCATACAAACCAATATTTAAACGGTGAATCTCACCACCATCCTTCACACCGTACCGTGGGCAAATCTTTGTTACAGAGAGCACGAGGGATCTGTGACAGCAAACACCTGGCTGCCGAGCTTCAGCACGTCAAGCAAGTTCTGCACGACAACAAGCTTCGGGTCCCGCGCCTACGTCACAGTGACCGAGTGAAGCCGGCCACAGTCGAGCGTGTGCCTGCTGTACTACCATATGTCAGAGGTGTCACAGACAAGATTGGCTACATCTTGAAGCGAGCTTCTATTAGAACATTCTACAAGCCGCCGAAGAAGATTACTCAGTTCCTACCATCCGTCAAGTGTCATATTCCCCTACAAGATGCAGGAGTGTACAAGCTTGATTGTGAATGTGGTCTCTCTTATATAGGACAAACAAAAAGATCAATTAGGACCCGCGTAAAAGAACATATAGCTGATGTCAAGCATCAACGTTCCGGGAAGTCTGCAGTTTGTGATCATATCCTAGACGGACCCAACCATTATATCAGATTTGATAGACCACAAATCCTCGCGAAAGAACACCGATTCCTACCAAGGATGATACGTGAGGCTATTGAAATTAAAAAACATCCTAATTTCAATAGAGAAGGAGGCTGGGTACTACCACCTGCTTGGGATCCTATACCACTGCAAGACCTCTAGACATAGTCAGTTTATTTTGCATAGATCGGACCGTAAACAATAATTAAATAAGCTGAAGGTACTCCGGGTTTAACAATGACATCGGGACGTCAGTCATTTCAGTCCCCCGTGACCATGGGTGCTGGAAAGCGCCCGAAACGTCGGGAATTAAAAATAAAAGTAAATAAAAAGTAAAAATAAACGCGATAAAATCCGTAAAAGTAGTTTTAATCATGTATAGTGTTCGCGTAAATATAAGAAATCATTAAGATTTATCATGATTCTTTGAAAAATACCGGGACTGGAAGCCAAAGCGTAAACTAGACGATTGTACATGTGTATTTATTACCGTATACTTTTTTGACCCATCTAATTCTATTTAGTTGTAGGCCTGGGAGAAGTCTAACTTACTGAACCAATTACAACCGCTAAGATTCGATAGTAAATCTTCAATTTTGGGAACCGGAAATTTATCCACCAGTAAGATACGGTTTAACCTTATAGTCTGCGCAAATACGAAGCGACCCGTCCGGTTTATTTACTAATACCAAAGGTGAGGGAGAATTCGAATAACATGTTTAAACTTTCCATTTTATCACAGTTTTGTGTACAAATTATTCTATTTACGTGAAATTTTGGTATATCAATCCCCAATTCAGCTAACTATTGCCTTCCCAACAATATGGTTGTCCCATTTTCTATTACATACAAATCAAGTACTTTACATTTACCGTTGTATTGTACTGGGGTCTCTATATAACCTGGCTGAGCTAGCAGATATAATGAAAGTGTTAATTTACAGGGTAACAATGCCAAATGTATAAATTTTTCTATATACAAATTATAACTTATACAAGATAATGCTGAGCCTGTGCCAATCTCCATTAATAATACATTGTCAACACTAATAGGAATGCTAACCGGTTTGTAGTCCCTCAAAGACATTTGGAACATTGGATGCTCGTTTTCTTCGCCCTCGCTGGCCGATGCCGGTGCGGAGGGGTCCTCCTCCCCCTCAGCTACGTGGTGGGCGCGCTCATGACGCACGGAGCCTTGCCAGTGCCGCGCGCCGGAGCCAGTGCCTCTGCCGTGCGCTGAACCGCTAATACCAGTTGATCCCGTACTCGAGGTCCACACGCGCCTGTTAGTACTTTTATTTTGATGTCTCTCACCGAGCGAGCACACCCGTTTTAAATGTCCAATTTTGCCACAAATATCACATTTGTAGTTATGATACGGACATTGACGCCAAATATGGCGGGAACTGCCACACGTTGTACAGGGACTCATTTGCACCTTATTCACTTCGGTCACTTGATAGTCTGCCGTGCTCATCCTTTGTCGCTCCTGTTTTACTACCCTTGTTAAATTTTCGTTCGCAATGGCGATACCAGAGGTGCTCGCGCCGCGGCCCGTGCAATCTACCACTGATGAGTCACGCTGGGCTGCTTCCATTGACGTAGCTAATTTCACTGCGCCCGTCCAAGTTAAAGAATCCTCAGCAAAAAGTTGTTGACGCATTATATCACTGCGTAGACCGCACACAAATTGATCTCTCATATTTTCTTCCGAAGTGTCTTTGAATTCGCACGATTTTGCCAAACGTTTTAAATCCGTTACAAACTGAGATACTGTTTCATTTTCACTCTGCCCACGTTGGCGAAACTTATAGCGCTCTGCTAGAATTGACGCTTTTGGTTGCAAATAATCGCTCATTTTTCTTACAACATCGTCGTATTTCATTTTAGCGGGTCATATCCACTTTCGCCAACCACAGATATCAACGTAGGTAACTTTAATTCTTCCTTGACGCCGTTAACCAGAAAATACATTTCCAACCTTTCACAATATGAACTCCAATTGCCATTTGAAACATCAAATTCTCCGATTCTACCCATGTTTGCCATATTTTATTTTGATAATATTCCTCGTCGCCACTGCGAAATAAGACACTCTTATTTGTTCCACGTTTATTGCGAGACTGCCACCGCCCGAAATCGTCTTACAATCGTTTTTCGATTCTACCCTATATCTAAAGCTAAACATATGAGATACTAAACTACAAACAATATACCACAATATCCAAATACGTTCTGGCATACATAGTCGAGCGGCCAGTGTTGCCAATTCCAAAGCTCAGAATGTTTGGCTTAATGAGGAGTGTCGTCGTTGGTTTTCCAATAGAGATAACTTAAAACTCACGTTAAGGTATTATAATCTGAACTTTCATATAAATTACATAATATTGAATTTGATATTTTGGATGGGAAAGCCAGAGAACTTGCTTCAATGGCTGTTTACGAGAAATATCAAATTCAGTCCCATAAGTTAAAACGACTTGTATCTTCTTCATCCCGTAAACGTAATAACGACATACATACTGAATATCACCAATTTTATCCCCGCGTTAAAAAACTTTCCGATATCTTTCGGATGAGTTATCCCTTTTACACAAAGGCCTAAAGTATAATTTAACACCTTCGGTCTCCCAAAGATCGTTAGAGACTGTGGCCGTTGACGCGGAGGTGGCTGTTGTGATCGGGAGACATGCTCGTCCCAAGCATTATCGGCCCCATAATAACGTGCCAGGCGATCCACATCGATCTTAGGAGTCCCTCTTGCGCCTTTCTGTATCCGGTAAGTTACAATGTTGATCCTGGTCACAATCCGGTACGGGCTATCCCATTTAGCTTGAAGCTTAGGAGATTTCCGTTTGCATTGGATTGTGCAACCACACTAGTGAACCTTCGTCGAACCCTTTGTTGTTCATTTTGCGGTCATACCGGGTTTTCATCTTTCAGACATTTGCTGGCCCGATTGTTTGACGTGCTATGAGCACGTCAGACAATCGGGCCTGATTCAAAATGTCATTCATTTTGTTCCGCAAGTCATTTGCATAATCAGTTATACTGCGTGAGGCATCAGGTGGTATCCCGGTAATCAGGTCTGCAGGCAGCCATAATTCTCTTCCAAAGTTTGGTGTCACTGATGTACTTTCGTGAACAGCGCTTCGATATGACAACAAAAACGGTTGTATGTGCTTGTCCCAATCTCGTTGCCGATTGTCTACAACTTTTGCTAGGTACCTCGCAAATGTCTGATTAAATCGTTCTACCATTCCATCAGATTGCGGGTGATAAGAAGTCGTTCTTGTTTTATGAGTACCCATAACTCGGCAAATTTCCTGGAATATTTGAGACTCAAAATTCCTTCCTTGATCGCTGTGAATCTCTAAAGGTACTCCAAAACGACAGAAGACTTCATGAACTAGTTTATCTGCAACTATTGAAGCTTTTGAATGGCGAAGACTTCTGGCCACTTAGTGAAGTAATCCATCACAACCATGAAATACTTGTTACCGCTTTCACTCTCCGGAAACGGCCCCGCCACGTCAATGGCTATTCTCTCCCATGGTGCACCAACATTGTACAACTTCAATGCACCTCTACTACGAGTCTGAGGTCCCTTTATAGCCGCACAGCTTGTGCATTTGCGACACCAGTCCTCGACATCGTTTCGACAGTGGACCCAGTAAAACCGTTCTCGGATCTTCAGTAGAGTTCGTTTAACTCCCAGATGGCCTCCTGAACAATCATTGTGGTACAGCTGTAGAACATCCGGTACTCTAGCTTTAGGGACAACGATTTGCAAATGACAGCTGTCTTCCCGAACATTTTCCCATTTACGGCACAGAACTCCATCCTGAAGCAACAAGCTATCCCACTGGGCCCAATAGCTTTTAGTGGTCGAACTCATCGCTGAGACGTCGCTCCATTTGAGCTTGGGAGCACTGGCCTTCATCCATTTCAGAATCGGCTTTATGTCCGGATCTTCCTGCTGTGCATGTTGTAAGCTGGCCTTCAACTTGTTGCTGAGGTGGTCTGTCCTGAGCATCCTCACGGATACCACTTCCTTACTCTCTTGCCTAGTACAATGTTTGCAATCTTCAGGACAAGGTCTTCTTGACATTGCATCTGCGTTGCCATGAGATCTCCCGCTGCGATGTTCGATCTCAAAGTCGTATTGCTGCAGTAGTTCAATCCACCTTGCAACTTGTCCTTCTGGATTTTTAAACTGCAATAGCCATTTTAGTGCAGCACGGTCAGTTCGTAAGTGAAATTTCCGCCCCAGAAGATATTTGCTAAAATGCTGCAACGACTTTACCATGGCTAGCAATTCGCGTCTTGTGACACAATAGTTCCTTTCCGGTTTTGACAATGACTTGCTGAAGTACGCTATCACGACCTCTTGGTCACCATTCAGTTGAGACAACACACCGCCAAGTCCTATATCACTTGCGTCCGTGTCAACTATAAATTCTTTGCTTGCCTCAGGGTATCCCAAAATAGATGTTTTGCACAGACGGTTCTTGAGATCCTGGAATGCGATATTGCAACTTTCATCCCAGCAGAAATGTCGCTTTTACTCGGTTAGCTTGTGCAGAGGTTTGGCTATATCTGCAAAGTTCTTCACAAGTCGCCGATAACAGGAGCAAAAGCCCAAAAATGCTCTAACCTGCGTCTTGTCTTTTGGAACCGGCCAATCCTTGACAGTGGCGATTTTCTCCGGATCTGTGCGGATACCTTCTACCGACACTACATACCCCAAAAAGTTGACTTGCCGTTTGAATAGTGAACATTTCTTCGGACTCAAATTGATGTTGGCACTCTGAAACTTCATGAGCACGCGTTCCAGGATTTGAAGGTGGTCCTCAAACGTACGGCCCACGATGATGATGTCATCCAAGTAGACCATACAGACATCGCCAATTAGCCCGGTAAGTACAAGCTCCTTTCAAACGTTGCTGGAGCATTGCACAATCCAAACGGCATTACTTTAAATTGCCACAGACCCTTTCCCGTCGAGAACGCAGTTTTCTCCTTGTCTTTAGGGTCAATTTCAACTTGCCAGTAGCCACTTTTTGGATCCAGCGTGCTAAACCACTTTACTCATGTAAGCATGTCTAGCGTGTCATCAATTCTTGGAAAGGGATAGCTGTCCTTCTTTGTAACGTCGTTCAGACGGCGGTAGTCAACACAGAACCGCATGCTGCCGTCCTTCTTCTTTTCCAGCACCACGGGTGAACACCATGGACTAGATGAAGATTCAATAACACCATCCTTCACCATTCCCTCAATCATGGTTTCTACTTCCTTTTCACGTGCTACCGGCAATCTTATTGGTCGCTGACGGATAGGCAATTCTTCTCCTGTGTTTATTTTGTGTTGAACTAAGCCAGTCTTTCCTATGTCAGCATCTCTTGATGAGAATACATTGGCGTACTTGAGTAACAACTTCTTCGCCTTGACCATTTCGTTCGGGGAGAGAACGCTGCGACAGTCTTCCAAAAGTGTGTGGTCACTCTCGTTTGTGAATCTTTGATGGGGTCCCACTCTATAGATTTTGGCACCGACGTAACCAATCCACTTCCTCACAAGTACCAACCAGTGTGCCCTTTTCTATAAACTGTTCCTGGTCACAAAGGTTCAGCACACGTACTCCTGAGATGTCAGTGGTTCTGACCAAGGTTCGAGCTTCTTTGTCATTGTTTACCCTTTCCACAAGTACACAACGGTGAGCCTGCCCAGAGTGCCGAGGAAGACTAACCGGCACAATCGTTTTCGATCTCGGCAGAAAAACAATCTTCTTAATGCTGTACATGTTCCATGGTAACGCACCTTCCATAAAAAGATCCTCCTCAACTAACGTCGATCTCAATTATTCCTCATAAAGTCTAGGCCCAGGATGCAGTCGTCCATTATATCAGCCACGATGACATTATGCAGGTAGATCATGTTGCCTAGCTTCAACTCCATCTTCTTCTCTCTACGGACGGGTATATGCTGACCGGTGGCTGTTACCAAATTAACGCGTTCTCTGTTGTATGCGGAGTCCCCAAGAAACTGTCTTATAAGTTGGGAACTAACAACCGTGCGAGAGGCTCCAGTGTCTATGGTCAGTTTACACGGCATTCCGTGGATCTCGCCCTTGATGATTAGGCTGTTCCCATCATGGGTTTGTGAGATCGAGATCTTTGGGGCTCTTTTAACATCAGCCGGCAACCGCCCCGCAGTTCTGGCTTTTACTCGTTTCCCTGCTGCTGCTGGGCGGGGCTGTTAGCCGCACTCCCCTCCTGATATCGTTCACCTTCGCTTTCTACGGTTCGCTTAGGTCAGCTGGATCGAACATGGCCCCTTTCCCCACAGCCATAGCACCTAGGGCTGTATCCTTTATTGCGGTCGCAAACCGTAGCTGCTGCAACCTCCCTGACGCGATGGGAGTGAAGATCCTGCCGCACAGCTTCCACCTCCAGTGCATGGGCCAAGGCGTCTTTAAGCGTCTCGTGGTGCCCGAGTCTCACAGCAGCTCTGACCTCAAGGTCGCGGATGCCGTCGATGAATGTCTGCACCAGGTTCCCTTCAATGAGCGCAGGTACAGACTGGTATGTTTTTCGAACCAGGTTCCAGGTGAGCGTTGCCATATCTCGCCTCCAATGCCTCAAGGAGCTGCTAGGGTGAGTGCATTCATGGCCTGGCTTTTATTCCAGCCGTTCGCCTCCATGACGGCCTCGAACTGGATTTTGTAGGCCGACCACGAAGAAGTCCCGTCGAACGGCGGCACTTTGAATCCACGTACCGAAGGTGTTGTAGCTACTACGAGAGCTGTAGTTCCATCGCCAAGTTTGAGGTCGTTCAGCATTTTCTTCACGTCAGTTGTCAACCCGATTTTCACTTTGTCGATTCGGGTTTCAACTTTCTCGATTCCGGTTTCCGCTTTCGCGATTTGGGTTTCAGCTTCCGACAGGCGGTTGTCATGCTGAGCAACCCTATTCTTCACCTCCTTTATCTCCTTCCCGAAGGTAGCGTGAAGGTCCTTCATGAGAAACATCTGCTCTTCCAACCGACGGGCCTGTTCCTCATGTCGGCGGGCCTGTTCATCCTGTCTGCCCCGCAGCTGCTCTTCCAACCGACGGACCTGTTCCACCTGCTTGCGAGCCTGTTCTGCCTGCTGGCGAGCCTGTTCCTGCAGCATCATCATGAGAGCGCCTAAGTCAGGTGCTGCAGGTGTAGGAGCTGTTGACGGGCAAGCCTCCGTGGCTGGTAGTTGGCCCCCCGACGTCTGCAGGTTTGCACCACCAAATCTTCTCTGGTCCGTCTCCTGCTGGCGTTGACTTCGGGTACGGATACCCTATGTTTCCTCCTTAGGTAAAATCGGCATGATTTGATCCCACTTCTGACACCAATTGTTACGAGCTTAGGGTTCGTGACAATAAACGCTGCTGAATTACCAAAATTAACACTTTAATTCACTTTACACTAATTAAAACTTAAAAAGACACTAATAATTAATCACACTGATTCACTTTATTTCGCTCCGAAGCTTCGCTTGTCTCGCCAAATTCAATACTGCCCTGATCCGCGGCATGCAGCGGCTTTAAATACACCTTTTACACCGATCCATCCAGAATATTCCAGAAGATACGGGCGCCGACCGACCAGACGCAGAAAGTTCGAGTGTAGGGCTTCTAGAAAGCTTAATTCTTCTGTTCGATACTAGATGGCGCTGTTGGTCGAAAATCAAGATTGACATTTTCTAGGAAGCCCTCCTCGCTCTGGTCCCCGACACTAGATGGCGCTAGTGCCAGGTACCTGACGTGAACTTAGGCGCGCAACAATACTATATATGTTATGCGTAGAATTATTACCTGGTAGAAACGCAGTAGAGGAGTAGTAGTTTAGTATAAAACACGAATGTGTCGAATGTGCCTACGCCAATGATTTCAAAAGGAAGGATACGCCCATCTAAATATTTTACTCATAACTTCTTCATACAAGAAAAAGTAGCGCATCTGTCATAATACAATAGTCATAACACCACGTAACCAGGGTCGGATTTCATAGTATACTTAATTATTGTATTTGTACCATTATTTCGTAGTGTGTACGTAGTATATATAATCTGACTTGTATTATTATTGGGTTTTTTTACTTTTTAATATTAACCCTACGATATCGAGAATCTGTATTGAACATGAGTACCGTGTTTTTAAATAAAATTACTATCAGCTCCCTTTCTGGTCAATCAGTGCTCGATCGATGCATTTATGTTGTATCCTTGATATAAATATAATGTGGGGCTACAACGATAAAAACTCTATGCTCCAGAAGCAATCGGTTTAAAAACAGAATTTCAAAATATTTTATGAATCAGATATTCCGTTCCAATTAAATAGGTATAATTTCTTTTGTACTCTTTTTACCCTTATTGAATATAAAATGTATTGGGTAGGAATATTCAAAATTTAGCTTACACTAAGTTTTTTAGACAAAAATAAAACAGAACTAAAATTAAAACCGTCAAAAAAGTCTAGTTTATCTATTACTCTATACCACGGTAATATTTATAGATAAAATTACCGTGTCTATACGTTTCGGTATAGATAAACTAGATGCGTGCCGTCAACATCCCGGCGCATGGGAAAAAGAAACATGAAACATCAAACATCAAACGTGATATAATTATTGACAAATAATATAATTTTATTTTTCTTATACTATATTTTATGGGTCTGAATTCAACCCTGAAATCTTGGTAACGCAACTAATCTAACTGTAAAATAAAACTTAAAAAATGCTAAACGTATTTTTTAAGTTTTATTTTACAGTTAATAATTTTATTGTAATAAAATTAATATAAGGTTATTTACCGATGATACAATATCTCATGTTCCTTTTTAATCTTTGTATCGTAATTTTTGCATCCACTTACCGCGCAACTTAGCATATTTGTGACAAGCAAATCTGTTCTGCGCGCGCACCACTAACGACCGTCACGTAATTTTAGGGCAAGCGCATGGTCCGTTTTAGTTATTCGGTCGGCCCGGTCCTTATGCTAGTAATACATAAGTCAATGGCCTACGCTTGTCACTCGTACGCTTACACAACTCCCAGTGATACCAGTTTCTGGTGTTTGCACAATTTAGTTATCAGTTGCATTATTTTATAACTATTGAAATGTATCTAAAAAGAAGTATTTTATGGGTATATAAAATGGAATAAATTAAAGACGATAATGATGGTACTAATACATATAACTTTATAATACATAATTTAATAGTACAAATATGCAGGCGTAAAAAATTTACGGATATTTTGTTATATACAATTATTTGATCAAATGCAATAAGGACGTCGTATAATGTTTAATTTTAAACCGACTTCAAAAAAGGACTTCTCAGTTCAGTGTATTTTTATATCTGTTACCTCAAAATTCCGTCACCTTATAAATTATTTAAATTTTTTTTATTTGAAAGGGTATATTTTCAGACTGGTCACACACTAAAGTTTTAATATAGTACGTGAGGGTATTATGGTCATCCGGTAAAAATTGTCACTTTCTTACAACTCAAAAACTACAGCTTTTGGTTCTTCATCAGTCCATCAAATAATAAAGGGTCAAAAGGGCGCAGATTTATCGACGCCATTTTGACAGTAGATATTATAGTAAATATTTTAATTAATTTTAGTATTTTGTAGTGTAGTTAGTTCTTTTTAAATTCATTTCACGATTTGTTTCTAATTATTGCCAAAGCTTGTTTGCTATTCTTTTCTTAATATATTAGTTATAGTACAAGACTTTGTGTTTTTGTCTCTGTCCTTCTTCTAGTTTTGGTTTTATAGGGCGGCAAAACATAAAGTGACTTATGTTATATTTTTTTAGTTGCCGACTTTGAATTGATAGCAAATAAAAGTCAAGTTTTATAGTATAAAACTTTGACTTAGTCGACGAACAAAGCAATAAAAATAAACAGTCGCGTTAAAATAGCGTCGATGGATCGCGATCAGATGATCACTCCATATTGGTTTTCAATAGGCATCCATTGTCAATATTATGTTCAGTACCCGGTTGACCGAGCTTTGCTCGGTATTTTTCGCTCGGTTTTTTTTTTAATTCGTGTGTTTTGGAAATTATATTTAGATACAAATTACATACTGATGAAATATAATATTTTTTGATCTTACCGACATAATAGAAAAAACTGTATATTTGAATAAAAAATCATAAGTGCAATTAGTTTAATTTAAGTTTTCGTGTTTTTAAAAAAATACTATAAAAGGGCTCGAAAAAATAGATTTTCTCAAAGTAGAAAGGAACTTGAAAAAAAAAATTAAAAAAAGTCGGTCGGTCGGTCTGGGCTCGAACCATGGTATTACGATTTTGTGACCGCCCAATATACCAATTAAGCTATTTGTAATCATTAATAAACTGTCAAAATTTACCTTCTTATTCTAACGATATTGTAGCAGTTTTTCATTGCCTAAAAACAGGGACAAAAAGACATTTTCTAAAAATAAATCCTAGCTCGATTTATTGCCCCCGAAACTCCCTGCACACAAAATTTTATGAAAATCATTGGAGCCGTTTCCGAGATTCCGATTATTTATATATATATAGTTATATAGATATATATATATATATATATATATATATATATATATATATATATATATATATATACACACAAGAATTGCTCGTTTAAAGGTATACGTAGTAATGTAGATAAATAGGTATCTACATATAAGTGTATGAATTATAAACAGAGCGCTGCGATTTAATGTTATAAATATATATAATAAAAAAAAAGATTTTTTAAAGGAAATTGTGTTTTTTTATCACAACTAGTCACATATGTGTAGCTTAGGTAAGCATTTTTTTGGTTTTACGAGCTATTTACGCACTAATAATGAATGAAATATATGAAATTATCTGTGAAATGTAATACCTTCACTTTATTATGTTTTTTATTACTATTGTGACAATATTTAAAGCGATTTTTATAGTTTGTTGCGAGCTCTTCTCCGTTAGACGAGTACGTTGCGCACTGACGGAACGCTGAGTGAACTTATATTACGTTAGTCAGTTTCACTTGCTTCACTTTCGGTGCGCGTAGTGATTCTGTACGTAATTATTCTATGAACTTATAACAAAGTTAGGTGATCACAATACGATGTAATGGCACATACGTACTTTAAAACAAATGTGTTACAAATTGCTTCCGCAGCTGCGATTACAAGCACTATTTTCACCCGTCTGTTTTTTTTTTTGATACTAATGATCATGATTACGTTGAATTACATTATCTTCTTTGTTTTGTATATCTCAAAGTGAAATGTAATATTTTCGGTTTTATATTTATTGCACCTTCAGATCACATACCCTCCCTTTTGTAAGTCATTGTTTTTTGAGAAAATGGTAAAGACCTAATATCTAACTTAGATTATGAAAATATTTTCTTCACTTAGTACGATTTTGAAACTCATAACACAAATGTAATTAATTTACTTTAACTTTGTTCTTTTTTCTTTTTTCCTTAATTTGTAATGCCTGCCACGCACACACACGCACGCACGCACGCACGCACGCACGCACGCACGCACGCACGCACGCACGCACGCACACACACACACACACACACACACACAACACACACACACACACACAGAGAGAGAGAGTATACACACAGACACGCACGCACGCACGCACGCATGCACACACGCAAACGCACACGTACACGCGTATGTGTGTGTGTGTGTGTGTGTGTGTGTGTGTATAAGGGTAGAATAAAGTAGGTAGTATTATTAAGACTTACACTAAGCAACACGTCTCATTTTTTTCATTCAATACTTTTCAAACATAACCCTCTATGGAAATTAAATCTCAACTGTCTTTACCGTTATCATCGTCACGAGTCTACGAATGTCTCTAGTTTACATGCGCAAATTGCACAACTTCTACTGTTTAGTGGTATATTGACATGTCGTCACTTCAACACGGCCAGCAGCGTCTTACTAATAAGAACGAAAAAACAAATTAACTGCGGTGGCCGACCCGCCTGCCGAGCGTGGCAACGCAAACGTTCCTCATCAGGAAAGAAATCATACCTAGTAATGACGCTTGAAGTAATTATTATGTACTGCATACAACCTTGTCCTGTAATAAGAAAACTACCTTGGTATTCATTGAATGCCGTTTTC